CAGCCGCTTTGTCTCCGTTGTCGCGCCTCTCCCTCCCTTTGTGTCTCTGACGAGACTCCGAGTCCCACATCAGCGACGCCCCCAGGTCTAGTGACCCTGCGACCCCGGGCTGCACATCTAACCACCTAAGCGGTGAAGCCCATTCTGCCCTCTTCCCTCCCTCCGCAGCCATCCCTGATCGCCTTCAGCTTCAGCTGCAAGAAAGATGACCTAATCCTGGCGTTAGCGATAGGGCTGAAAGGATTGTCCTCTTCTCCTTCTGAATGCGTATTTATGAGCATGTTTATGATTACAAAACCCATATCGGACCTGAACACCCAGGCTGCTAAGGAAAGACTAGCAGCCTTGGTGAGGAAGGAGGGGGAAAGACAGGCACAATTGTCTAGACACGTAAGGTAGACATGACCGCTTACATACCTGTTATTCATCTCTCTAGGCCATGACAGCTGGGCTGCTCACCAGCGTGTCCTGGCCACCTGGGACCTGCAGTGTGGTCAGGCCAAATCCTCCTGCAGAGGAGATACAGTGTGAGGGAAAGATCGTGAACTCTCTCAGTAGTCGTTGTAAAGTACTGACTGGATGTTGAAAGCATCATATTCTGGATATAGTGTGTGAAATAAAATACGGTGTTATGATCATATATTGCTTTCTATTTTTTAAAGATGTGTGCCTGTGAACAAGATTTACAATTATGTCTGTGGCTCCTTTTCTATTTCTGTGGACAGTGTTAGTCTGGAGGTGGAAGAGCCAAGGAACTTTCTAGCTCTGATTGTACCAACTCACTTTCCTCTGCAGATGGTTCGAAACTGAGCAGGGAAAAGGAAGTCAAGAGCGGTTGTCTTTGCGTGGAACCTCCTGAAGACACAGAGCAGAGTCTGTGGCTTAAAAGGTGTCTGTTCTTTCCTTTGTTTTCTGTAGGGGTGGCCACAGCCATGCCACAATCCTGTTGTGTACGAAGTTGGCTTCCAGGAGTGCTTTGTGCCTTTTAGGAGTTATTTGTCCCACACTCCACTCACTGACGTGCCGTTTACAAGAGTGAATACTGTGTATGTGCTGTGACTATTTCATAAGTACTGTTGGTGTGTGTTGTTCCTCATCATGCACAGGCAGCGGAGTAAGGACTCCCGGAGTATGCATTGGCACGTTGCGCTGCAAATGATGCGGCCTGGGGGAGTCCCCGAGTGTGTGCTGATTCCACATGCGGCCATGGCTCCTACTGGGCTCTTATGGTATGGCTCACCAATGATCCGTGCACTAAAGACTCCCGGAATACACATTGACACGATAGACTGGAGTTGTTTGGGTCTTTCGTGGCAATGATCCGGAGATAATGACCATATCTTGAGATTGGAGTGCTCATGGTCCTAAGGCACAACCAGAAATGCCCCAGTTAAGCCCTCCTGTGGCTCCCAGTACAGGGTGTCTGGGTCTTTGACCTCCTGCATCCAGACACTGTGGTATCATCAATGACTGTTGATGTTGTGACTTTCCCCCTACATATAAAATCTGAAACTCAGTGCTTACAGTGGGGTCCATGTACTGAGGTTTTGCCTGGCTAATCACAGGTTAAAGAGCTATGAAAGGTCATATTTAAAGGGGAAAAATGGTTTGGTAGAACACACTTGGGAAATAGATTTATGTTAGAGAGAATTAATATAAAATAAATAACCTCAGTCCTGAGAAAACCTAGTGAATAACTCACAATGGATAAAAAAAGGTGAGTAAGAAGATGGAGGAAGCTAGAAATCACGAAGGCAGTATATTCAATAGTAACAATTCAGTTGTATAAGACACAAGATAAAATCTCCTCTCTTCTTCTACTATACTTTCAAATGTCACAGCCACTGTTAATGTTTTGTATATTCCTTCTATTAATTTTGTACACAGACAATTGTATGTCTCTGTTCTTTGGTTACATAAAGGAGTTGACAAGAAACATTACTCTTTGCAGTCTTGTAGTTTTAATTAATAATATATTGAACATCTCTCCTCACCCTTTGCAATGACGGCATAGAATTCGGCAGCATGATGAAACAGTTTTAAAAGGCCTACCATTTCTACCCTCACAACAATGAATACTCTTTTTTTTTTTTTTTTTGGTTTTTCGAGACAGGGTTTCTCCGTGTAGCTTTGCGCCTTTCCTGGGACTCACTTGGCAGTCCAGGCTGGTCTCGAACTCACAGAGATCCGCCTGGCTCTGCCTCCCGAGTGCTGGGATTAAAGGCGTGCACCACCAACGCCCGGCTAACAATGAATACTCTTATACCTGTTTGCATTTTCAGATTTGGACAAGCATGTTCATAGGGAAAATTTTCAGCAGTGGAAATTCTGAGGTAAAGAAATGCACAGTTAAATGTGGATGCATACTGCCAAGTTAATCATCTTGCATTCCAACTAACAGCTGTGTGTCTACTTCCCGCTCCTGGTCCAAGCCATGTTTTGTCACACAGCACACTTCTGATGTGTGTGACCCTGAATTCTCCCACCAAGCTTTCTCCTCAGCTTTCTGGTGCTAGTCCAGCCCTGGGCACTGTGATAAATACAGTGCAGTGTAGAAGTCACACTATGGAGTAGGAAGTCCTGTTAGTCAAGATAAAAAAGAAAGATTGAGCCACAAATCACAGTGAGATTAGCTGAATCTTGGCAACAGTTTCCCACTGTGGGAGAACTAGAATACGGTCACACTAATTCGTCTTTCAGCAAATATTTATTGAAAAGTTATAAACAGCAAGAGAGTTCTCTTTTCAACAGAGTTCTGCTGCCCTTGACTTCTGGGAAAATGAAAAGATATTCTCGCTGGCCAGACTTTGTTCCACATGAATGAAATACCAGATTTGGTTCAATGAGGAGTCACCCCTACAGGACTTCATAGTGGATGCAGGTATAAGGCCATCTCACTGGCAGCTATTTGGAAATCACCAATATCAATGAATGAGGCATATGGCTAGGCTCTGCAGGTTCTCACCTAGTCTCTCCGGCTTCTGGCTTTCTTTTGTAAAGTTCAAGTCTCCAAAAAGCCAGGTGAGGCCAACAATAGAGCCTTCTTCACTTATTCCAGAATTCCACCAAACTCCTTCGTATTAGGCAAGCCATGCATCCTAAGAGATGATAATTTGACACATAGTTGGTCTTACAGGTGTTCTACTTAGGTCTATTTTGTTTCTGTCTGGACAAACTCAGATACATGGAAAACATCTTGAGTCTCATAGTGGTTTGAATGGTGTCCCCTGTAGGCTCATGCATTTGAACATTTGGTCCCCAGCTGGTGGTGCAGTTTGGGGAGGCTTAGGAGGTGTGGCCTCCCTGAAGGAAGTGCGTCACTAGGGGTGAGCCTTGAGAGCTTAGAGACTCCAGCCATTTCCAGTTTCCCCCTTTCTGCTTCATGCTTGTGGTTTGAAATGCGAGCTCTCAGCCTGCTATCTCCAGCCCTCAGGCCTGCTGCTTGCTACCCTGCTGCCGCGCTGACCCAGAAGCTGTGGCGGCTTGCGTAAGAATGACACCCATAGACTCAGATCCACGTTGGTGGAACTTTTTCGGAAGAATCAGAAGGTGTGGCCTTGTTGGAGAAGGTGTGTCACTGAGGGCAGACTTAGCGGTTTCAAAAGACTGATATCATGCCAGTGTGTCCTACTTACAGGTCAAGATTTGAGCTCTCAGCTGTTTCTGCCACCATTGCCCTTGCTACATCATCTTAATGAACTCTTACCTGTTAGAACAAAATCAAAGAAGCTTCCAGTAGCCGGGCGGTGGTGGCGCACATCTTTGATCCCAGCACTCGGGAGGCAGAGCCAGGCGGATCTCTGTGAGTTCAAGGCCAGCCTGGTCTACATACTGAGATCCAGGACAGACACCAAAACAACACAGAGAAACCCTGTCTTGAGCGCCACCCCCCAAATTACATTTATGTGTTTAGTGTGTGTGTGTGTGTGTGTGTGTGTGTGTGTGTGTGTGTGTGTGTGTGTGTGTCTGTGCATGCTCATAGCACATGGGAAGTTAAAGGACAATCTGTGGAGTTGGTTCTATCCTTCCACCTGTAGGGCTGGAAGAATGAGCTTCCATCAGGCTTGGTGGCAAGCACCTTCACTATCTTGCTAGCCTTGTTCATTATTTGCAACAACCAAAGCCAAACAGGGCTTGGCACAGCAGTGCATGCTTGTAATTACCTGGCACTTGGGAGGCGGAGGCAGGAGACTCAGAAGCTCCAGGTTCACCCTTACCTACATGTAGTCTACTTCAAGGCCAGCCTGTGCTTTATGAGACCCCGTCTCAAAACCAAAGCCAAGAACAAACAAATGGCGTTGGGAAATACAGCAGGGAATGTTTTATTTACTGTTGAAGATCTGTGACATTAACTCTTTGATCACCATAGTCATTGTTAATCTTTTGCCCTTTTCACCAAACTTACGGGGCTTTACATTATTTATGGTTATCATTTGGCCTTTTCACCAAACTTACAGGGTTTTACATTATTTATGAAATAAAATTTATCGAGTTTTCCCTCTTTCTGTTTCCGGCCTTTGACTCATAATCGGATAGACGGCCATTTCTCCTGGGCAATGAAAGTCTCTGTCTGTTTTTCCTCTATACTTTTACTGTCCCAATCTTCACATTTAAGTTTTTGATCCCTCTGGAGTTTACACGGCATGAGGAAGGACTCTAGGATGAGTTTATTTCTTCCAAATGGCCAGCTAGGTTTCCCAAGACCATCCTTGAATAATCTATCTTAGCCCTCTGATACACTATTCACCTTGTCCACATGCCCTTCTGGGCCCCCGATGGTCATTTGCTCAGTTTCTAAGGCAGTGCCATACATGTCAGCATCTCATTTCTCACTTTTAGAAATTTCTGGGCTATTCTTGAATGTTTGTTCCCTTAGAGGAATGTAAGGATTATTTTTCAAAGTTTCCAAAAAGATCCTGTTGGGGTTTTTATTAGAGCTGTATAATTTATGCCATTTATAGCTAAATAAATCTATGGACTAACTTGGGGAGAATTTTCATAGTTCTGAGTGTTATATGAGAATCAAATGTGTGTGTGTGTGTGTGTGTGTGTGTGTGTGTGTGTGTGTGTGTGTTGCGAAATGAATTTTACCTATTCTTTTGGGGCATGGGATTGAGACAAGGTCTCATGTAGCTCAGTCTGAACATAAACTTGATATGCAGTTGAGAATGACCTGAATCCCTGATCCTCCTGCCTTCACCTCCTAAGTAAGCCCTTGGACTACAGGTGCGTGCTGCCACACTCAACTCATTATCTTTTGATTTGTTTCCTGAAGTTTATTTCTGGGAATCTTTTTGGAGTTGGTTGGCTGGCCACGAGTTCTTAGGCATGTGCATGACAAGTCGCTCCCCATCATAAGTGTAAGCTTGGAACTGGAATGCAATGGCTTTGGGATCTACCAAAGGCAGCGTGAGAGCCACACACATGGGCCTTGGGGACACCGCTCGGTGCTGAGCGGGTCATCAGACACAGGAACTGCTTGAAGGCTAAAGCATCTGTTTCCAAATCCTCCCAATGCTGAGATTCCCAGAAGCCTTCACACAGAGCTCCTACACGGTGAAAGCCCATTTGCTGTGACTCTGAGCCCATCCAGGGGCTGGCTCTGTGCTCCATTGCTGAAAAGTTAGTGGCAGCCATAACACAATGGGAAGCCTGGCTCCTTCTTCTCTGGTTAATTAATGATCCACTGGGGCCTTGGGGGTGGGGCTTCGAAATGGTAATGGCTTAGAAAAATGCATCAGAGGCACATAGACCACTTGGAGTACCCAGTTAAGAATGATTTGCCACATACAGGAGAGCTTCACAAAGACTTTCACAAACATGGGTATTCAGCTCTGCTGATAGCCCCGCATCCTTAATGGCATAATCACCAACATAATCCATTCAGAATAATGGCCTTTTAATACAGAAACAATTACTTCAGATAATAAAATAACACTTTAATTTGCTTGACACCAAGTTTGACCTATGCGGATCATCTGATGGGGAGGTGAGGGGAAGGGAAATCGGCTGAGCTCTAAATACATTATAAAGTGATAACGTACCATGTACTTCAGGCCTGAGATGCTTTAAAAGGCTTGGCAGGAAAAGAAAATGATAATCAGAGTAAGTTATTGCTTTGGAATTTACAAAATACTTGGTAATTTGAGTATCGACTTCTTCCAGTTTCCTTAGAGAGAAAGCTAAGCCTTCGAGTTAATGCACTTGGATTAAATTTGTTCATTTTGAACACCTACTGTGGGAAGGGATTTAAGGCATGCAATCGCTCAACAAATTGTTATTGCATGAAAACTAATACTGCGTCCTAGGAGGGAAATGCAAACAAAATCCATTGCTCCGCTACATTCTCATATCTTTAGAGCTATCTTCTGGCGCTGGTAAACTATTTCTATTCTGTCTTTAATAGAACTGTTTTCTTAAGTGTCTTCAAATTCTTTGGGGAAGTAGGTGAGTTTTAAGTCTTAAATATTAAAAGCTTCCCTAAGTAAACCTCCTAAGTTGGGAAACGAGACAGCCATTTACTTACTTAGTTTCATGGATTGTTGGTATAGGCAAGGACTCATTCGTTCTTTGTCATTTGGGAAGAGAAAAGCTGGGACCAGGCTTGGGAGTAGCATCCAAAGTCTCACGGGATGACTGACTTCCAAGTACCGTTACAGAGCCAACAACTGAAGTCTTGACTGTGAGTTTCTGATAACTAATTCTGTCTCTTATTAAGTTAAATATTTCTTAGTATATAAGAAGGAGACATAGTCATCATTTGTACTTTAGTGAGAATTAATTTTTAACAACTTTCCTGCAATAAGTAAATGAGAAAATTGGTATATGTTTTGAAAAGATGAGTACAAACTGCCAGTAATCTACCACTCTGTAGTTTAGGACAGTGTGGTTTGTAGTCTAAACACTAGGCTTTGGTGCATTGGAGGTGAGATCATATTTGCTATAGAATATTGTATGCTCATCTTGTTTCCTTTAACATTTTAGGGTTTTTTTCCCCTTTAAAAATTCTTTGATACAGACTGCCTTCTAAATTCAAGTCTCTCTACCCAGTAGTACCAGATAGTACTCAGCCCTCATCAGAGAAGTTTCTCAGTGCAGTATATCATGGTTAACTCAGAAACTCACAACTGGCCAAAGTGCAGAGAAGAAATGTCTGTGGCCTGCTCAGCCACACATGGGACATTGATATCACAGCCCCTCATGCCAAGACTCAGGGATCACTGCAGAAGAGGGAGCAGGAGGACTGTCAGAGCCAGAGGTCAGGGAGGTTGGAGCGAATCAGTGTCTTATGGGCATGATAGGACCACCGCACTCATGAGCTCAGAGCAGCTGCACACGCCTGCACTCCATCAAGCCAGTCTTCAATCCAGCATGCAATGGGGAGGGGTCCGCGAGTCCACCCATGGCTGAGGAATTACTGGCAGTTAATGGGGAAAGGAGAATCAGTTTTGTTCAAGGATGTGGCCCCTGGCCATCAGTCAAGTTCTGGTGGATGTCCCCACACCTAGGAGTATGTGGACAGATAAAATGGACTTGGGTTCTAAGAAAAGGAAAAAGAAAAAGAAAGGGGAGGACATGAAGCTGGGAGTGAGTAAGGGTTGGATCTTGGAGGAGTTGGGGGGAGTGGGGTGAATATGATCCAAGTACATTGTATGCATGCATGAAATTCTCAAAGAATTAATAAAATATTGTATCAAAATATTTGATATCACCACTTCTCTGGACTGAATTATATCCCCCACCCCCAATTCATCAGGTGAAACTGTAGCCCTCCGAACCCCCCTACCCGCCCATGTCACAGTATGTGGAGGCAGAACCTTTATGAATAGGATTAAGGTATGGATGCGGTTAAGGTATGGATGCGGTTAAGGTATGAATAGGATTAAGGTATGGGTGGGATTAAGGGGATAAAAGGTTTGCTGGTTAATTGTTCATCAACTTGACAAAAGCTAAAGTCATTTGGGAAGAGGAAATTTCATTTGAGAAAATCAGACTGGCCTATAGACAAGCCTGTGGGGACATTTTCTTGATCAATGATTCATGTGGGAAGGGGTCTGTTCTAGTGCCTCCCTACACAGTGTGCTGGCCCACATGGCAC